AAACTTAACACAGGGCTCCTGCACCACTGGAAGGATTGGAAGGCTTAAAAGTTACCATTTTAGGCTCATCTTTCCTTTATTAACACCACAATCTACAGAGAACATGCTTGCGTAGACTTTTGCCTGCACTTTGCTTAGGCCTAAACAAAATGTTCCTAAAACCCAGGCAGAACTGGGACTTTGGTTTATTAGGCTTTTTCAAATTATAAACTTGACACCTCACACTCACAGGCTGAGGGAAAGCTGGAAACACTTATCTGGGCCAATGCCTGTTGGGTGCTCCGTTCAAGGGCAGTAGGATGTTCCTCCAGGCACACTGGGCCACATTGGCATGACATTTTCTGAGCACGTTTCTGTGCTTCAGTGACATGTGTTTATTCTCTTCTCCAAGTCTGAGAGTAGTCTCATGTTCATACAGATATTTACATAACACTAAAAGAATAATCTTTTTGTAACTTACCCACCAAAAAGTAAAGCCCATCAAGAGAGATACAACTCAGCCATTCCTTCTGCAATCAGTACATTGTAAAAACAGCTTTCTCTGAAAATTATACAAAGATTAAATTAAGTAATCTGTGAACTTTATCTTGCATAAAGAATTGCAATCCAAGTACAAATGCATTTTACATCTAAGAATCTCTAATTCTGGCAACACTGCAATGCAGACTGTGCTTTCCTCCTCTCTCATGTACTGCATTCAGAAAGGATTACATCATCTCAAAGAGCCAGAAAAACAGAAATAGACCAGGGAGGCCCATTACAGCAGACACAGAGTAATTAAAAAGACTATAACTTTTTAGTTAGAGAAGGAGATAACTCAAGAAAAAAGGGTCATTATGTTTCTAAAGAGACAAATAAAATCATGTGCAATTTAAGTTCTCGGAAAGGCCAGTAATGCCTTCCATCTGTTGAGAACAGCCTTGGAAGCACAGGAGGAAACTGTTCCTTGATCTAGCAAAGAATTTAAACTAGCAGCTTAAATATTTGAGCAAATTGTTGGAACCAAAGGTAGTTGTTAGAACCTGACCATCAAATTGATCACTTTCCTGAAATAACTTAGTAAGCATTAAAACAGAGTCATCAGTGTGGTTTTAAGCACTCTGGTATTGCTGAAGGACATTGACATGTCCTATTTTAATAGCAGGGCAGCAAGACAAATTATTTCTTTTAAAAAGTAAATTGGTGAAATGTTATTGACTACACTGAAACTATTAATACACACATGCTCATTCTGTGATTTCAGGGTAAAATGGTTACGAAAAACCAATTTTAAAATGTAAACAATTAATTCAATACTTTGTTTTGATATTATCCTAATTTAAAGTGCTTCCATTTTTATGTCACGTTGCTCCTCTTAGATATATACTATTAAAAAAATTATAATGAAATGTTCCACATATTTTCAAACATTTTTTGTTTCTTTGTTCCAGTGGGGGAAAAAGTTCTGGTTCAAAACTCAAAAGAGCCAATTTTCTGGTTTAAAATATTTGAGTGAATCAATACTTGCAAATAACGTAGCCAGGCCAAAAGGAAGGTCCTCGTTTTTCCAAAAAGAATGTCATTCTGACAAATCATTGGTAACCACATTATATGAATTCTTCAACAAACCAGAAAGGCAGATATACTCAAAGATTTCCCTAGCAGTCTTACTAGTGTAAGAAAAGAGAGAAAGGTAAAATCAGAACTAACTATTCTCCCTTTCATCCTCATGAGAACCTTTTGTGTCAGGGTTCAGGACTTTCTCTTACGTTAGTAATGGCATGGCCTGATCAAATCTTTCAAACAAAGCTTGATTCAGTATCAGCACTCAAGCACAGTTCCAGCCACAGAAAATTGCTGTACAGCAGGCAGGCATTTTCCTCCATGGTATAGCTTTAAGAAATAAGAAAGTTAACAGCAGAGAATCTGCTCTCTTAAAGGTTTGCCAGTTCTACAAAGCTCTTTCGCACTGCCCAAGGGTCTTGGAAATACAATCTACACTCAAACTCAATTCTCATATTTACACTCATAAGGTTTTGCTCACGACCTGATTCCTACATGTTCACTTCTCCATGCACATGAGCAGTTAAAACAATAGCCAACTGGACTCACCAAATCTTGAGACCCCAATAATTCTTCAAAAATAAAAGGAGACTTTTGTATTTTCTGCTGTCAAACATCAACAACTGCTGTCACCCAAATGTCTGTAAAAAACCCTTAAGATAACATATATCAGCAAATGTTTGAACTATAGACAACTAAAACTGACAGTCAAAGCTATTACTATAGTAGAGAGCATGTTCACTGTAGGTTCTTCCAATACACAAAATGCTACTATACATCCTTAGATATTAAGAAACATACTAAATATGAAAAGTGTGAATGTGAAAGATATGTAAAGGCACTTAATCACAAAGACAGAACTTCCATTTCCTTCTCACTACCTCTACAATATTATACTATTATTATTTGTGTACTAAAAATGCACACTGAAGAAAAAGTGGCAAATCTGCCACTATTCTCATGTATTCAGTATTTTGTTTACAAGTTGGAAGCTCTGTGAAGGTTGCAGATTAGCCAAAGTTCACCCTAAAGGCCGAATATTGGACATGGAGCAGCATCCTCAGCCAGGCCAAGGAACCTCACAGCAGAGATCCCATGTCCCTTTAGAGAGAGATGCAAAACAAGCAGAGAGGACTGCAGCAGCACAATTCTTCCAGTCAATAAATATGCTCTAAGGATACTACTGGGTGAGGGGAAAAATACAGGGTAAAAGAAATTCTGATCCATCTTTCCTGGATCTTTCCTGGAGTTCTACAGGACACAGGGCAGGGAACACTTGGCACAAGCCCAGCTGGGAACTGGTAGCTGGAATGTTGGAATTTTGGAAACAGGGAGTTTTGAATTTTCTGTGCTGTTAGGCACAGACTTTTTAAAGAGTATTGGTTTTGACTTGAGGTTTTGGACAAGGTTTCCAAAATTAAATGATGGAACTAGAATAGTGTGATTTGAATAGTAGTGTGTAGTATCACATGGTGAAGGGTTTGGAATTTGGGGTTTTAGAATATACGAATAGGTATGGGACAAGATGGAGGTTTTAGGGCAGTGGTTTCCTTTCTTCTTGTCCCTCTTCTTCTCGGGTATAGGTAGCACTTGCTAATTGAACAAAAAATGCCTCACTGCGGGTCACATGTCATTGGGTCAAAAGTAAAAATAATGTAGATATTCGTTTTTAATTGGACTGTTTGGCTTTAAAAGACCTTGTAACGAGCAAGATACATCGCCACTTCTTCATGTTTAGCTTATTAGCTAGAAGTGCTGTAGCATTCACTGTACTATAGATAAGAATTAATAAATAACCAAGTCCGAACACTTAATTCCGTCTTTTGTGCATTCAATCCCGACTCTGACTGAAGAGAAAAAAGAAGATGAAAAGTAACATAGTGGTGATCCTGTGTGAGGAGGACACCTGCTAGAGTCAGGGTCGGGACCTCTCTGAAGAAAGAGAGATAATAAAAGCTGCTGGAAGCTGGCAAAGTCCTCGGGGTGAAAAAAAAAGAAGAAAAAAGATCTCGGAAATCCTTGGAAGCCGGTGAAAGGTGAACCTGAAACCTGTGGTGCTGGCCACGGGGAACCCGAGGAGGAGAAACTGACAGCAAAAACTCAGGTACGCTTCACGGTTAATCCATTAAAATTATGGGAAACGTAACGTCCAGATCGCAGAGCGACATACCTTTAATCCCAACTCTAACTAAAAAAAAATAAAATAAAATAGTGGAAGTGGTTTCTGGCCAGGTTTTTGTAACACAAAACACGGAACAGCCCATGAGGGCGTGAGGCGCCCACACAAACCCAAGCCCCTCAGGCAGGGCCGGCCCGGCGTGAGCCGCGCTCAGCCCCGGGGCTGCTTCCGCTCCCCGCCTCCCCGCGCCGCCCGAGCCCGGCACTTTCGTTCCGGGGCCTGCGAGGGCCGCGCGGGAGCCGCGGCGGGTGGCGGGTGAGGAGCGGGCGGTGCGGAGGGGCTGGAGCCGGGCGAGGAGCGGCTCAGGAGCTCCCGCCCCGCCGGTGGCGGCAGGAGAGAGAAGGCAGCGCGGCTCGGGAGCGCCCAGGGGCCGCGCTGTGCACGGGGCGGGCTCGGGCGGCCCGCGGTAGGAAGCGGCTTTGCGCCCCCAGGGGCCTTGGTGCCGCTGCGGCGGCGGGACGGGGCCGTGCAGACACGCCCGAGCGGCAGAACCGCGCTGTTACTGCGGGGGCAGCGGCAGCGGCTGGGGCTGTGCCCGCCGAGCACAGGAGCTGCGAGCGCTGCACGCCGGACCCGGCCTGCGCTCCCTCGCTCGGCTGATACAGCGAGCAGCGGCACTGAGAGAGGTTATGGCACCCCCTGAGCTTTTACACAACGCCCGACGTGCACCGGCCGACGTTCTGAGTTCTCCTAGAATGGCAGTGTGGAGGCTACCCTCCACCGGCAGTGATTTACCAGGGGTTTGGAGATGAGGTGCAGATGGAGTTGTTATTTAGTCTTAAAAATATGTGCCTGAAATGAGATTGGCTCTTAGAATTCTAGTCTGTCATTTTCTGAAGTGTACTGTGTGTATAGTGCTGCAGCCTGGGCACAGCGTATCCCCTGTCAGTATCCATAACAGCTCCAGGGTGTCACCGTGTAAGACATTTCACTGAAGAGAATCAGTTTGCAGGCTGGGAATGCATGTCCAATTCCAGGGCCTCTCGGCCTCTGCTTCTTGAGGAAACTTGATAGTAGCACAGGTTACTCTGAGATGTAAAGTATACTGCCTTTATCTCAGAGAAACTTGAAAGCAAATTGTACTAGAAAATTCATATTCATATTAGATTTTGTGTTTGAGTGGACATCCCTGACCTTTCAAAAGTTAGACTTTGGCAGAGAGGGAGGGGAAGGTATCATAGCATGCATGAGAATTTAATTTTACCAGAAAATAACAGGGTTTTTTTCTGGAATTGATTTTAATTTTGTGTTGGAAACCTAGCTGAGTTTTTTGGTTTTGTTACTTTCCAATTTTATTACACTTGATTTTATTTAAACGCTTAATTTTGGATTACATTTCAGGACTTACTGTTAGTTTGTTTTTGTTAAACATGACTTTGCTACATCATTTCATAAATGTGATCCTTGACATGACAAAAAGTAAACCTAAATTAGCTGAAAGTAAATACTGATAATAACTTCTTTCATTGCAAATAATGCAGCACAAAGTGCCAAAGACACTTTGTGACTAGTGCAGGCTCCTGGCTGAGGGCTGCTGTGAGGATCACCCCAAGGGATCAGTCAGAAGGGGTTGTGATAGCCCAGCAGCACTAATTCTGTCTGCCCTGGGCTGGGCACATGGTCATCTTTCTCATGACTTGCTCCCAGTACATGGGGAAAATTCTGTGCCAGCTGCAGAGGTGAGATAACAGCTCACCTGAAGAAAGCCTGAAAAAAATCCAGCAATGATACTAAATAAACACAAACTTGCAGAAGTCTAGACTGGGCCAGCACTTACTATCTGGTACATGGGGCACCAAAGCCCTCTTCTAGCTGTTACTTTTCAACCTCAAGCTCTTCTGGAAAATTTCTTCTATTTCACAAAGTTCTATCCAAGAGGAATTTCATTCAGGTTATTTGGTTGGCCCACACACAATAAACTTCAGGATGGAGATATAAATTTGCACAATTAACTTTAGTCTTACAAATTTCTATCCTGTAGACATAATTCCTTGTCAGTAGTCAAACTGGAGACTGATGGGATTGCCCATCCAGGTAAACACTGCTTACCAGTGTTTTCATAAACTTTTACACACAGGTCTTAACAACAGAGAAATTATAGACTTCTGCAGGAGTTAAGTGAGTGGGATAATGAATGTGCATCTGTGAATTAAGGATGTAGATCTCAGGTTCTTTTGGTTGTAGGAAATACGTTCTTTGATGAGATGTTTTTGTTAAATGGGATAATACAGAATAATTTCCAATAGATTAGTTCATAGTAATTGGATTTTTATTTAACAACATTTTGTCTGTTTCAGCTAACCATGTCTTTAAATTCACCTAATCTTTTAAATGAAGAAAATGCTGAAGAAGCCAAAAGAAATACTGAGTGTTTGGAAAGGCTGCTGCAGACTCCATCATCGTTTCAAGATAATCCACTGCAACAATTACAGTTAGCATCCCAGGAAGTACTGGAGAAGGCAAAAAAGAGTGGGAGATCAAAATGCCCCCGATGCAATAGTTCAAGGATGTTTTATTGTTATACATGCTTTGTTCCTGTTGAAACTGTCCCTACCACAGAAATTCCAACTGTGAAGGTTAATATCTCTTAATGATTTTTTATATCTTTTAGGTTTTAGTTGCTGTGGACAGGAATAGTCTGTCTGCATCCATTTTTTTGCTGACTCGTTCTTTACAGACATTCATCTTGTACACAACTATAAGTATGAATAAAATACAGTTAGATAAAATTACTGTTCTTATTTGAGGAATTATATGTACAAACACTGAAAATGTTCCAATCCTCACATACACATTTATGTATCTTCTAGATGAGAGTATAGGCTGAAGTCACTCAGCTTCTCAAGCAACTTGGTTTTCACAGTTGTTGAAAGTTTAGTTTCTAGTAACTCTGGCCAGAACACATTATATTGTGAACAAAAGATTTGTCTGTAACCAAAGGTGAATTTTACATAAATTATGACCTAAAAGACATTCCTATATGTCATGGTTCTGTAATTCAGATAACTACTCTTAAAATACAAATAGTGTAATGCCTTTCAGCTAAGACACTTGGGGAAACTGTCAAGAGAGGACTGAGAAATTTTGCAAAATCAGTTAGGATCTTAGACGATTTTTGAAGACACTGGAGTTTGAAAGCATCATAAAAATACTTTAAAAGTACTTTGAAAATTTGACCTAGTAAACTTAGGTGTATTTTCACTGAAATAGCCATTTTCACAGTTGGGTGAATACCTAATAGAGATAAGTATTCATATTTAGAACTATTATATTGCTCAAATTAAGACCACATCCAGCTTACCTTACTGATTCTGTTTCTGGAGATTTTACCACACTACTGCTGGCAGCATTCCAAAGTGCATCATTGCTTAAATCGAATTATTTGCATAAATCGAATGTAAAAGGTGCTTCTTCTTATTTGTCTCTAGCTTAGTTCTAAACCTGTCAAAAATGATCAGATAGTTTTAATTACACACCCATAGGAATTTCTCCCGAAGTTTGAGTAACTTTTTGTACAGATGTTCTGAAATGTGATGATAAATACTGCTTTTGTCTTCTTTTACTCTAGTTACCTTTGAAGATTGACATTATTAAACACCCCAATGAAACCGACGGCAAAAGCACTGCTGTGCATGCTAAGCTCCTGGCACCTGATGATGTTACAATTTATAAATACCCTTGCATTCCAGAATATGAAGAGAAGAGACACGAAGTAAGAGATTCTTTAGAGACAGCCAGGCTTTATGCTGGGGAGGTGCAGCTTCCTCCTGCAGTGATAGTGCCCTGTTCCATTAGTGCAGTCCATCCTGTGCTCTCTCAAAGTTTAGCTGAGCAAACACAGACTTCTGGACTGAACCCTTTTCTCCAAGGCTGAGAAAGACTGCAGCACAATTTAACCACCTTGAATTTTCTATGTTCATCACCTTACGTAGTGGAGAATTGGATTTATTTGTGGATGAAGAAATAGTTTGCCCATAAATGAAAGTATTCAACTTGGAGCAAGTTAAACAGCAGTTGAATGTTGTGCTCATATTTAGCAGCTTCAGCATTTAAAACTCCTTAAAAATTTTAACATTACAGACGAAAACAACTGAAATGCAACTCTTGTCTACCATAGCATAGAGCACAAAAAAGTGAGTTATGAACTTAATATGTATATGTTCATTTAAATGTAAGCTCTTCTTTATGGCCCTCCTGCCCCATATACTACAGTGACAAGTGACATCTGAACTTCCTCGGAGTGACACCATTGTCTTGGCTGAAAAATCTTTTTATACAGAAGTGTTAGCATTGGTAGTAGAGGCATGGAAGTAACATTTATTAAAAATTCTGTTAAGGATCTCAATTCATTAACGTGTTTTTAACATGGATTTAACACTATATTAGACAATAGAATATTTTTAAGAGATACTATTTCATCTTGTCCCAACTTAAGTGTTTATAGACAGGGTAGAAAACCTCTGTTCTTTATTTTAACAATTCTTGTTGCTTTATTAGATTTTATTGACACTCGGATCTCTTTTGTTTTCTTCACTCAGATAGCACTTGTATTTCCTGGCCCCAGTTCAGTTTCTGTAAAAGACATTGCTTTTCATCTCCAAAAGTACACTAAGAAAGGTGTCTATGCTAGTGACGATGACTGTTCCAGAGAACCACTTCTAAAACAAGCAAAAATAGAACCTGAAGAAGATAAAACTTCAAATGAATGCATCTCGAGCAGCAGGAGTGAAGGCACTAGACTGAAGAAAATAATATTTATTGACAGTACCTGGAATCAAACTAACAAGATAATAACTGATGAACGACTTCAAGGTAAAAAAATATAAGTTGATACTGAGATGTTATTGCTGCAGAAATAATTAGGGGACACATAACAGACCTGAGCACATGTAAGCTTGTATATATCCCCATATCTGAGTGTTTGTGAAGGATTCAGTAGCCTGTTCCAGGGCTGTGGAGCTTCCTGAGACAAAAACTCCATTACTTTTTATGTCATACAATTTATTTTGCAAAACATAATACTAGTACTAAGAAAGCATTCACATTTTTTGTCTCACTTCTCCATTGGAGAAAATTTCCTCAGTCTCAGAGAATGGGAGCTGTCATGTTAGGCAGTAGAACAGAATGGCCTCAGAAGGAAGCCAGGAAGATTGCCTTTGCTGGTGGCTGTCTGCTTTCCAGGGACCCACGGGACCAGCTGTGTACATGCTGATGGCAGAGAGGCCCCAAGAAGGAAAATGAGGGATTTTAGGAGGTTCAGCACAGGTTTGTCATGGCTTGGGTTCTCTTTCTCCTGAAGTTGTTAGTGGACATTTCCATAATCTCACTACTTCAGACACAAAGGGAATGGCTGCTTGCCCTCCACACCCTTCCAGCTCTGAAAGCAGAAACTGGTAATTCTACAAAAAGTTTTTGTCTTAAGTTCTTTACAAGAAGTTTACATTTAAGAATTCTAATTAAAACCTCAAAAGACAAAACAATTTAGCAATAGCATTCCATTTCTTTTAAGATGAATAGGAGTTTGAAAATACTTTCATTAGTGCAAAAAGTGCACTTAGCTAGGAGGCAGGTTGGCAAGTTTATATGCTATATATCTATCTATATATCTATATATATATGTATATATACACACATGCATCCTAATACTGCTTTGCACTGGATCCTACAAGGAACTTCAAAAACTTTCTTACCCAGAAGATGAATGTTGCCTTGCTGTCTAGTCAGTTTATTAAAGAATCCCACATGTTAGTATGATGTATTGGCTAATTAAAATCCTGTTGTAAGTATTTAGTTTAACACAAAACATACTCTATCAGCTACATTGAAGTATTACTGTAAAGATTAGAAGAACTGCAAGTTAATGTAAGGCATTTGAAACTTAGTTTAAGAGGATGAATTCAAGGAAACTAACAGGTAGCCAGGGAACTGAAAATTTGCATGGAAGCCTATGCATATATTAGTAAAAAAGTTTTAATTGGCATTACTTTGGAGCTCTGAATGTTTTCCAGTTACCCCATGACCATGCTGGTTTGGTGGGCTACTCTCTCCTTTCTAGAACATCGCAGCCCTCTGTGTTCCTGAGCACCTTTCAGGATTGCTGTGAGGTTTCATAGTGTCATGCAAATCAGTTCCTAGTATGGGAGAATTTGACCCATCCACACATTGGGTGTAACAGTGCACACATGCATTGCTTTCCTTAGTACAAGTCATAAAGAACATATATTGCATTAATACCCCTTTTAGAGATTGAAGTTTTCACTTCCAAGATGAATGGGGCAGAGTTTCCTTAGGCATAAACTGATGACATTTTTATGTTGTACGTACATGAAAAATAGAGAACTGTTTTCATTTTTCAGGTCAATCGCAAATGAAGTCATCATCCAACAAAATATTCATCATATCCTAAAGTTCAAAAAGGAGTGTTCATAATTCCAAATAAAAAGTAATTGCCATACTTACTAAGATTTAAGTTACAAGAAATACTGAATGAAAACATTAATGAAGCCAAGAAAATGTAAAGAAAAGCTTTGTGTGTTGTAAGCCTATATTTATATAGACAGTAAATCTAGTAAACTGTGCTTCAAGAGAAAGCAAATGAGTACATCAGTCTTAAAATAAGCTGAGAGAACTTGGGCACAAAATACTTCTGTGTCTTGGAAAATATGCTTAATATATCTTTAGAAAACAAAACCATATCAGTTAAAGACAAGAAATACATGAGAGTTGGTAATGTCTAGGATTGATTACTTCATTAAAAGTGATCCCTAGATCAGAAAACAAACAGTTGAATCTGTTGTTAATGATGACTTTTATCACGTGAGTGATGGAGCTTATTGGCAATATCACCATGATTGTTAAAGAAACTGGTTGCTTTGTGTTTTTTCCTGTGAATTTGAACTTGAATATATTAAGGTGATTTCAGTGTTGAATAGTTTGTGCATCTTAGGAAACATAAAAACCAAGATATATGTTTAAAATTCATCTGAATAATAGAACAGACACTGTAAATAGATTAAAGATTTTCTTGTGCCATACAGGCACCAAATTCTATCTTAAGTGGGAATGCTTTTAGTATCTAATAAAGTTAATTATGAGTTGCTGTCATACTTACTCCTGAGTAATTTCAATGAGATTTCAGTTACCTAACAAGCATAAATGAAAAGTTCCTGGCTCTTGCAAATAGTCCTCACTTCAGGAACACTAACAGGCTGAGGGATTCTGTTTTACACTTGAAAAGTATTAACTTTGCAGAAGATGAAATAATAATTTTATTAACATTGTTGAGTCTTGGTAGGTGTGAGTTTCACCCTTGCCGTGTGAAGTGACTGCAGTTTACTGAGGGCTGTGTGAAAGGATAACCTATAATTAACTGCAGGTATGGAGATTGTAACCTAGGACTTAAAGCAGCACTTCATCAAATTCCAAAGTGGTCCAAGAAGGAGGATAAAATTATTGCCTCAGTTTTACAGATGAAAAATGGAGGTACAGGAAGAGAAATTATTTTCATGCAGACACTGAGCAGGCTAGCAGCAAATTCAGATAACAAAACTAAAGTCTTCTTTGACATTCTGGCCACCAATCCACATTGTCTAATCTAGGTCATCTTCTTTTTTTTCTCTTTTTTCCTTTACAGGGTTACTGCAAATCGAGTTGAAGACACGGAAAACATGCTTTTGGCGTCATCAGAAGGGAAAACCAGATACATACCTTTCCACAATAGAAGCAATTTATTATTTCCTTGTGGACTATCATCAGGAGATTTTGAAAGAGAGCTACAAAGGACAATATGATAATCTGCTTTTTTTCTTTTCATTCATGTATACATTGATTAAAGATGCCAAGTGTTGTGCTGGAAAAGAGTAAACTGTCTGTTGGTGCATGACACTACTATTTTTTTGTAATAATAAACTGCACAAACACAACTGGGATATTTTTTTGGAAGTAGATTGTACTCTAAATAATGTCCAGAAGGGAACTGCAGACCTCATCCTGCACACTTGAGGTTGTAGAAGGGCTCAGATAAGCAGTCTGATGAGAGTTATTTATTTGAGAACAGTTACATTTTGCTAAATATTGCTGTACTTCAGCCTACAGGCCTGATGTGCTGACTGTGATGAGCACATTTCCGGAGATGGGAGTGGAGGATTTGATCCCTCTTGCCATAAGGAGTGATCTCTTTTAACTGTAAGAAGGAAGTAGCATGCTGGCTTTTCAGATGTTTTCTTTGTGCTTTACACAGCAATACTGATTTCACCTTCATGGCATCAAAGGCCTACTGAAATGAGCAGGTGGTGTTTAGCTGCCAGGGAGAGTGGCAGCAATACAGAATGAAAGACCACATTAATTGAATATGAATTATATACTTTCAGATTAATTCTGGAAAATTCTTCCAGTAATAAAAAAATGGTCTCTTTAAACACTGCTATACAGTGCATGATTTCTGTAGTACCATTCATGTACTGTTATATAGGATTATTCTCCACTTCTTGGGTAATTTTAGACTTCAAACAAATTTAGTTGTTTATTACTGATATATAATATCATTATTTGGGCAAGCACTCACCTAACAAATGTTAGGCACCAAAAATAAAAGATGGTGGTTTCTGACAAGAAATTAGGCAGGCTGTGAATCTGCTCTGCGTTTCCTTTTGCAGTAATGGGGCAGATTAGAACAATATAAGTAAGACTTAGTGCTGATTGTTTTGTCATAGGTGTAATGCTGCTGTCAGAATCATCACATGTGAATGTAGTTTTGCCAAGTTATACCAGCACAGCCAATGCTGGCAGAGGTAATAGACCTGAGCTACAACTTTAGAGCAGAGTTATATGAATCTATTTTGGATCATACATTGATAAAAATTACATTCCTAAGGTAGAAAAAATGTTTCATTAGAGGTACAATATAAGATGGATAAATATTTCTGAATATTCTCAGAAATGTGTTACTTAAGACAAAATACAATCTTGTCAAAGTGACAGACTGTAAAATTACAATAGATTATTTTTTAAACAAAACATCCAAGTGTTTGTTATCTCTTGCAGCATACTCCATAGGAGGGTACTCACACCTTGGTGAACTATAGTAGTGTGTATAGAAATAGTGTCTTGGAAAATACTTCAAGAAAATGTTTTTATGCTTCCATAGCAATCCATACAGGCTCAAACAGCTAGTTTGAACTGAGTTTTTAATGCTTCAGGATACTGAAATCTTAATATTGCTTCAAACACAAGATACAAATACACTGTCTTACATCATACTTCATATTTGTATGCTTCTCTGCACAAGTGCATATAAAAATGCATTTCAGTGGACAACAAAAACATATCCCAATTTGCAGAACAAAATGCTGGTTATGTTATGTTATGTGAGTGCACATGAAATGTGCATGAACAACACCACAGGAAACACAGGCTTGAAGTCAGAATGAGAAAGATCATTTTTATATCTACCTATATATCAAGTTAATCGATACATAATTTATATATATATATTGCCAAGAAATGAGAAAAATAAAAAAAATCAATCAGCAGTGTTGGCTCAGTGCTATTGAAACAACACTGCCTACTCATTTGGTTCTTTTTGCTGTTGAGAAGTTATTTTGGCTTTTTAAAATTATTAATGTTACTTCCTTTGGTATGAATTTTGATAGTCTTTTGACATTTCCATCTGTTCTTGTATTTCTTAAACAAAGATTGTTGTTTGTTGTTTTTTTTCAATGACACAAGTATAATGGCTTGAGAAGGAAACTTTCACCCACTTTAAGCAAACAAAAATAAAATTAACCCACTGACCTAATGTTTTACAAGAACCAGAGAGAAAAATCTGGGGGGAGAGGGGCAGTTACTTCCAAGACACATTTCCCTGAAAACATGTTTTTTATTTAAGAAGCAGAGGTCAGATAAAAGCTTGTATAAGCTGTTCTTTGTTACTTTTGGAAAATAGTTTCATAAGGTGAAAAATTGTTTCCAAATTTAAGTTTTGTGTACCTCACTTTATTTGAACAATGGGAATTAAGAACCTTTTCCAAAAGAAAATTAGTTTTAACTCTCAGCTGAAATTAATGTACAGAAAGGATTTTAAATCTGGCACACTGTGTCTAGAAATTGGGTTAAGATTCTTTTTCTTCCAGTGCAACCTCGGTGTAATGCAAGAGTCATTTGTTAAACCCAGGGACAGAGGCACACCTAATATCTGTAATTCGTTCTGGTCTGTTGCTGTTCCTCTGATAACCTTTTATGGGGGCAGGAAGGAGGTTTTTGTCACTTCTGTGGCAAATCTGTCCTGTCTGAGCAGCAGATGTAGTTGCCCTTTCTCTCATTATATAAAAATATTTACATCCTCTATTTAATTTTGATGTTGGTATAAGAAGCCAAACCAAGTCATCCATCTCACACTGAAAGCATCTCAGTATGACTGATACATTTCCCCAGCTTTGAGACTAAAGAAAAATTTTGTTCCACTAAATGAAAGCAATCAAGTGGTTAATCCTTTCAAGTGCAATTAGCAGCACTGACCTCCCTGTTCTTTAAATTAAGGGTCATGGGGAGGTAAAGGCCAGTTCTGGGCCTTTTCTTTCATATCAGAACACCCCTTCACTATCTCTTCTGTTTCCAAAAACATCAGAGACCAAGAGGGAAAAACAGGCTTCTGCTTCCATTAGCAGTAACTTAAACAGCCATAAGTTAAAGGGGGAGGAAAAGGAAGAGCATCTCTATCTCCTCTCACAACAGAAGACATCTGGCCTCCTGTGGGGAGGCCCCAGATAACAAAGAACCTGTCAGTGCAAACCTCCACGATGTGTTCAGAGAACCATTTTACCTGCAGTCTGCCTCATTCATTTCCTGCCACCGAAGCCATCTGCTTTTGCTTATTGTGGGTATTTTTGTTCTTTGTTTGGCCAGGAGCATGAAGTGGCTTCAGTTTAGCATGCCTGTAAGCTTGGTCAGAGGGAGTATTTAATCCTTTTCTCAAAACGAATAAGAGAGGGAGCTGCTACAAAAAACAATTCCTTTCCTGGAAGGTAGCAGAAATGTCATCCAAGCCGAGGTTGAATAAAGGGTCATGTCAGTGCATGGGGTAAAGATACATTGAGATTGAAAAGAGATGCCAACTTGGAATCTACAGCACAACCTCCCAAAGCACTTGTAATCTTACCTGATTTAAATCCTTTGCTACTGCTTCTTGCCATTTTTGAGTCCATCTGGTTTTCCACATAGTCTTCTTCAGTCCCAACTGCAGAGTAATACAAGGATCTGTTCTTGTTTTTCCCTCACACTGTTTCAGTGCCTGAATGCTTTTGAAATCAATCTACAGAAATGATGGTGATAGCATACTTGTATAAAATATAATGTGATATGAAAATCCATCCTACCTACTCCTACCTTCAAAAGTGCCAAAAGAATGGAGGGAGGGAAACTTCCTATTAATTTCTCATAATTTAACTATAATGCAGTTAATACACTCCCAGGTGCTGTTAACTTGTCTCTCAGAGCAGTCTGGGACACAAAAGTGAATTATGATTGCAGCACAATTACAACAGGAAAGCTTTCCCACTAAGGTCAGAATATGTGGCAGTTAAACTCCTGATCTACTGATAACAGAATATGAGGTCACCTACTAAGGTACTGAAAGACTCCAAACAGTTCCTAAACTGTTATTCCTTGTCTTGAGGGACACCACTTTAGTAAAATTCTAATGCTGTCACTAAGAATGTTAATTGTGACTGGTCAAACTTAGTAATACCAACATTGAAAGGAAGTGTTTATATGAAAAATCTACCACATTCTTCCTGTTCACTTGTTGGGAAAGATAACACATAGCTGCCATTTTACAGATTCAGAAGAGAAATGAGATGCTGTCAAATTTTGAAAGTAGTATATCACATTAAAGTAAAACTACTTATAGTGGTGTGATTTCTTCACCCCTATCTACCAGAAATAAATTCAAATAATTCTGAAGTTCCAGAGTAAGAGGTGGGAACTAATTCTCTAATGCAAAACAGACAGCAGACTGTATTTTCACCTCATGGAAAGTGGAAATTTTTGTCTAACTTTAGCAATACTGGTGCGGTTGCCACATGATTTTACTGCTGACTTCTCAGACCACTGGTGTTGCAATAAGATGTTTAGAAATATACCACAGGAGAGTGAACAGAAGAGAATGTGCCACACCAACATACCCCAGACTGACTCCTGCTTCTTCTCTGATCCTGTGCACTGTGCTTCCCTTACCTGTAAAAGTAATTTCTGCCTGTGAATAAAAGTGTCTATCTATGAAGCTGAGCCCATAAGCCAGTTTAACTGGCATGAAATCTAAAAGCTTTAGTGCAATTTCTGAAATGATTTGCTTTGGAGATGGATACTAATGAACTGGAGAGAATCAAACTCCTTTAAATTTAAAAAAGCATCCTTTTGTCTGTTGTACAGAACAATACTTCAGGTTCCAGCAAAGGAAGTCTGCTCAAGCTGAAATAGCCTTCATTTCATTTCCTAATTTTTAATAAAAATTCTGTACTTCAAGAACATCATAATATTTTATTTCTCTTAAAAATTATTTTGAGGGTTCAGTTTAGTTTCTAAATTGTTTGCCAAATACAACATGAATTTAAGCTGACCTGAAACTGCATTTTCTAGTGATTAGTCTAAGCAGCTGAAATATGCAGAATAGTTTTTCTGTTCACAGGTTTCCTTTGGGCAGAAGCAATCCTGAAATATTTTTCTTTTTTCATGTTTATAGCAGACAAGGAAGCAACTTGATATAACTTCAATTGTCAGAAGCATCATGTAACACACCTCAGTCTGCTTGAAGCAGCTGGATCACGTTACTTCCTCTTTTAACCTCACACGTGTCTGAGTGTGGTTACAAAGTTGGTTTTGATCTGTGTAGCTGCGTTGGTTAAGAATACAAAAGTGCTTGCATTCTATTCTATCATGACTGTGTTTGCAAAAATATAACATATAAACCTTTACATCCATCTTACCAAAAGCTTCCTCTTCTCTTTGAATATGGCTTACTTTTTCCAGGAACTGATTTAAAATCAATGCCTGAAGCAGCTGCCAGGGAATTTGCCAGCAAAATTATAGTGAAAAACTCTTGATTGCAGAATGCTCTCTAACGTAGGCATGGCTGAGCTGATTTTGCTCATTTTAAAATAATTCATTGAAAAAATAATGGAGTAAGAAACAAAAAAAAAAGCTTGAATTTTTTGAAGCCCATGAAAACCAGCATAGTAGATTCAAGCAATCAAGGTAACATGCAGTACTTAAGCTATTCCAATTTATGGATGGTCTGATGCAGTGGCCAGGATTTGCTTTTCTAGGCCTCTGAAAAGTTCTTCCCTCTCTGTATAGGCAGTGATCATTTTCAGCTAAACATGTGCCTATGTATATTCATCTATGAGGCATTGATTTAGAAGAGGCATTTCTTGTTTATATTTCTATATGTTGGCACTTTTATTGTAAGAAATTAATATATTATAACTAACTCTGTACTAAACTCTGTCACTGTCTTTCAGTACCTTGTTTTGTTTTCCAGAGTTCCAGTATTGGCATGCTACTGATAACAGAATTGGGATCTTCCTGTGCTGCTGAGTTTACTGTGTCATTTGCACCAGTGATCAGAGCCAAGTCTGTATCTCAGACAAAAAGGAAATATATTAACAAATGTGTTATTATGAAAGGAAAAGCCACTGCTTCAAGTTATCAAGACAACACCAAAGCACATTAATCAAGCATACAATAAATGATGACAGTTTGTTGTTTCATCTGAATGAAAAAATTAAATCCATCTGTTGGTGTTTAAACCTAGAATCCAATCTTGGCAGTTCCATGTGATAATGAAAACTATTTTAAAAATTTCATGCATTCTCTATGCAAGATATCATAAAAATAAATACTCCTAAGACTTAAGAGGTGGTGTTACACAAGGCCGTGGTGAGGTCACTAAATAGAGCACATGTGTGGGATCTGAGGATGACGTGCATTATGTTATACCATAGAGTATTTCAACAC